GCTCCAGCTCTGAGGCTGTGGCTGGCTAAAAGCAGGTATCTGGGTTTGTTTAGCTTCTATAATTGAAACTCTGTTGCCATCACTGGCGCTCTAAGCTCTGAGCCCGCTGGCGGCTGAAAGCAGGTTTCTGGGTTTGTTTAGCTTCTATAATTGCAACATTGTTGCATCTGGAGCTCAGAGCTGGGCCGCAGCAGGCGGGGAACCTTGGCTTCCTCCATCACTGGAGCAAGCAAGCCTCATGTTCACTTCAGCTGCGTGGCTGCTGGCCGCCATCTTTGTTGGCACAGTTAATTTATATCTCGCTGATTAGCCAATGGGAAGGGTAGCGAAGTTATGGTTAATTACCATGTTTCTCTATTATTAGATAGGATATTAGAGGCCCAGTACATGAAATTCGTGCATGGGAGGAGGGGGTCCCTCAGCCCAGCCTGCACCCTCTCCAATCCGTGACCCCCCAGGGGATGTCCGACTGCCTTTCGCAATCCAGAACTGCTGGCTCTTAACTGCTCACCTGCCTTCCTGCCTGATCGCCCCTAACTACTCCCCTGCTGGCCTGATCGCCCTTAACCACCTCTGCCTTGCCCCACACCTGGGACCCAGGATTCCCTTCTCTGACCAGTTGCAGGCACCTGGGACCCAGGCTTCCCTCCCTCTGGCCAGCCACAGGCACCCAGGACCTGGGCTGGCTTTGCCCGGGCCAGCCACATTCACAGGGGACTGTGAGTGGGCGGCTTCGCCTGGGCCGCAGCCGCAGGCACCCGGTACCTTGAGCCTGGGGGTTTGTCCCTCTCCCGGGCCGCAGGCGCAGGAGCTGGTGCCCAGGTCCTGTAGGGCAGGCAGCTTGTCCCTCTCCCGGACTGCAGCCTGGCTGGTCGCCATTCTTCTCTCCCCAGTGTTGAGTGTTTGAGCCCTTAGGGTGTGATGGCATTAGGGCGTGATGACCATTTGCATATTAGCTCTTTATTATATAGGATTCACTTTAGAGAGGAAGGGAGAAGGAGAGATAAAAACATCAATGATGGGAGAGAATCACTGATTGCAGTCTGCTGCATGCCCCACACCAGGGATTGAGCCTGAAACCTGGACATGTGCTCTGACCCATAATCAAACTATGACCTCTTGGCTCATAGGTAGACACTCAACCTCTGAGCTACAATGGCCAGGCAAAAGAAACTTCTTTTTATGGCTGCATAGCATCCCATTGTGTAAAATGTACCACAGGTTTATAAATCCACTCTTCTACTGATGGCCACATGGGCTGTTTCCACATATGAGCTATTGTAAATAGCTCGGCTAAAACCACATTGTGCATATATTCTTTCTGATTGGTGTTTCGGGTATCTTAGGATATATTCCTAGAAGTGTGAACACTGGACAAACGGCAGTTCTATTTTTAATTTTTTTAGGAAAATCCATACTGTTTTCCATAGTGGATGCACCAGTCTGCAATCCCACCAGCAGTGTACAAGGGTTCCCTTTCTGCATATCCTCACCAGCACTTGTCATTTGTTGATGGTAGCCATTGTGACAGGTGTGAGGTGATACCTAATTGTAATTTTAATTTGCATCTCTATGATGATTAGTGACTGTGAGCATTTTTTCCTATGTCCCTTGGCCATCTGAATATCCACTTTGGAGAAGTATCTATTCAGGTCCTCTCCCCATTTTATAATTGGATTGTCTGTCTTCCTTTTCTTAAGTTGAGTTACCGGTTAATAATGGCAGATATTGTAATCAAAGAAAACACAGTAACTTCCAGAGAAACATCAAAAATGCTTTATTTAAAGTAATGTCCATCGCTAGCTACACATTTCCCCATCTTTCAGGTAATTTGTGGATACCGTCCCAATAGAACTTTTCTTGTTTTG